ACCGCGATATCGGCCGGTGCCTTTGACTGCTGGGATGATACGGCTGGGGTATCTGGAGAAATAAGGGAATTGTGAAATGAATGAAATGGTGTGTGATGTGTGGTAGGTGAGCGATTCCGATGAGTGGAATAGACATCGGTGGAGGCCGAGCCGTTCCTGATTATTGGACAAGAGTCAGCAGACTTGCTCTCCTGGCAATTCAGAACAGGGGGTGTAGGGAGACAGGCCGAGACCTGCGCCGCAATCAATTCCCACAAAGAGTGCTTCAAAACTACCCTTACAACCCCCAATACTCTTTTGTTCTAGTCGATAGGTTTCTAGCTGTTTTGTTCAAGTCATTCTTGTCACTAGTTTAATCATTCCCGTGATCTTTTGATTTCGACAATACTATCCTCAGCGGTACTTGGCTTGGTAGGCTATGTTGAAAGAAACTGAACACATGTCCAATTTTTGTTTCGCCTTCGTGGTGCTTTTGTGTGTTTCTATTCCGAGAAGTAGGGTACGTTCGCAAACTTTGCAGGGTATTCTTAGTCATTCATAAAATTCAGGAGTTAGTGCGTTGATTTTTGCCTGCAGGTACAATTAGAAAAGGAATTTGGCATGTGTGAAATGGTAACCCATAAGGTAAGGCAGCATCTATGCGAAGACAGACATAGCATACAACTCGCGTGTTTATCGTCGGATGCTAGCAGTCGGCACATCTGGTTAAGGTGCATATGTTGCCGTTATCGATGGCAAGGTTGTGTGAGGCGCGTTTGGTTGAAAGCCACGAGAAAGCTGTCGCACTGATGCCGCCTTATCTAGCTGCATATGGTGGCCAGCTGTTCGGGAGATCACATGGTGACGGCAGCACCTTGATCTTAGATGGACTGTATTAGGTCCTTCTAAAGCGCTCTTTCGATTCCATTTACTGGTCCATCTTAATTTATGACTTCATGGAAGTGCAACACCAGTAAAATGCAACGATCCTTTCCTGTCGTCCGTAACGCGCACCCAGACGGCGAGCTGCTGCAGAGCATCCTACCGGAAACCTTTTCCACTGTCTCACCGATTCGACCGCCTGGGGACGGGAAGGACCGAAAAAGGTACAGTTATTGAAGTGCTTGTCCCATTTAATGATAGACCGTAAGCGGCAGTTTCTAGGCGCCGTTGAGCCGCAGTAACGTTTCGATAACAGACAATCGCCACCAGTCGCGTACGAGCTAGGGATACAGCGAGGTTAACAGCGTCTACGCAGGTTCGATCCGGTAACCTTTGGGCTACAAAGTCATTCCTTCAGTGACCGACTGAATTCGTTTACGTCAGACAGGTTAGTGGTTGGGAGCAGATGAACTCGGTCTCAATATTCTTCATATCGAAGTTTGATAGCCCTTTCTCAGTACAATTTATCCACATGAAGTAACAAAAGCGGGTTAGTGGATCAGCTACATTGATGTAGAGAACGAGCGTTGGGAAAGTTCTAATCTTGCTGACCGCCTCAAATGTGATGGTGCGTGATTAATAAGAGGTACACATCCGTCCAAACTAGGGCGAGTATGGGGCCATGACTAAAGAGCCCCTCTAAGGCTGCACGTGACGAATCCCAAACAGCCCCTCTCCCAACACCTCCGAGATGCATTCGCTTACTAATGCTTCGTGAACCAACCCACATAATTAGAAGTTTCATGGAGACGCGTATATCCAGCAGTATTGCTGACTGGGCGATTAAAGGTAACCCCAACATTGAGGGGAACACATATAACGAACATCAATTTCTTTGTTGTCGGAGGATTTTCCATTCCTAGTTATTTGCAGGCTCCAACGCTGTCCAGCGTGTGATCAAATATGGCTCGGTAAGCACGCCAGTAATAAAATGTCAGACATTTAGGCAATAGAGCATAACACCTCGGTCTCTCCGTCAAGTTTGTGCTGACAAACGCAACGCTCACTAAAACTACTCAGGTAGATGGAAACGGTGGGGCTTATATGTTTCGAAATTTAAAATACGGCTATGCTGGATGTCGTACTAGTAGCCTCAAGATTGGCTTAGAAAATTCGCAAGATGAAAAAGGCAAGATCTAGCCGAAAATTTCGACGCTACTCCAACTCAATTGAAATACGGGCCAAAGAGAAGCCATATGCACATAAAGGCAGCTGAGAAAATGGAAAACCGAGGCATTCACAAACCCATTTGAAGTATGAATGAGCAGCTCAGAGGGTTATTCAGCTTATCAGCCATCGTTGTTAGGCTGATCTTTGGAAACTGTCGAACGCAGAGTTCGTACAATGGAGACAAAGTTCTCAGAACCAGCGATAATGGGTTGCTGCCTGGCTTAAGTGACCTTCTATTGCGGTAAATTGCATTGTATGGTCTGCAGTTGGCTCGTCACCGTCAGGTTTACTCGGTATTTCAATACTACTTATAGTTGGTGCAGTAGCACTCGCTTTTGGCATACCACGAGATGAAAAACGCAGGTTTACGGACGGTACCCTTTTCGACAAATCTCTTCAGGTATTTACAATTATAAAACGGGAATGTCAGAGCACAAACAGCTGAGGAAGTAAAGAAGCGATTAAGAGGAATCGCGACAGTAGGAAACACAATATGACCCAAGCTAGCTAGTTTACCATGACATCAGGCGATGGTAAATCAGCAAGAAATTCGTGTCTCGGTGCACTAGCCACCTGTGCTGGAAACGAGCATGGCTATGGAGAATGAGTAGAGAGGCTTCAACACAGTCAGTTACCGAGTAACATCGGCTGGCGTCAACAACTCGTAGACCCATTATTCTAACCAATGAGTTGTAAGGGGTTCTCAACGAGTGGGTGAAAGGAGTACGACTGACGAGTTCTGGAATAACGAGACGTTCCCACAATGCCTTCCAGGGTGTGTTGTGGTGGTCTAACTGAGTGCGGTACAGACTAAGCATCAGGAACCCAGATACGGATCCTTTCAGTTCGGTTGAAGAACTCTGATACGAGCACCGAAATACAAGCAGTCAGCCGTCAGGATTAAAACGAACAACGACAGGGATTGTGGGATGGCACCCACATACGAGACAGAACACATGATCATGGAGGGCTCGGTGAATGCGCACCATATAGGAAAGAGCCTCCGACTGCTGCTGCGACCGACGTGGGTTGTCAACGGGTATACGAACGACATGACCCAAGCAACGAACATGAGTCAAATTTGACAGACATTCAAGTGCGACACAAACAGCAGAGGGTGGGCTGCTGTCTAAGCATTGATGCAGAATTTTGCTTCTGATTCATACAGTAACATAGGGCTTATTATAGCGTTGTACACTCTGGGGAGATAAGCGTTCTAAGCGTAGTTGCATATTCTGATAAAGGTGCCCTTAGACAGAGACGTCTAACGAATACTGCGGAGCGCGAAGTGAGTGCTCGGACATCATCAGCATCCGTTACGCGATAGCCAAATAACTACTTAAATAAACTAGTAGTAAAAACTCAGGACAAAGTGAATTCTAGCAGGCGGTGTTATCCGAATGGCACAAAACCGTCCAATGCAAAAAGACCGTCTTCTATAGTCCTAACGGCAAAAGGAATCAAAGGGAATAGTTTAGGGTCACCGCTTTTGGTGTCGTTCATTGCAAAGCGACTGCCTGAGGTGGGAGTGCTAGGATTAGTCCTAGTGGCATCAGTCTTACCACAGAGTGACGAATGAGCAAATTTGGAGTGATCAGGCTACCCAGCTAGTGGCTCCTGAGCCCTCTCCGCGAGCGCTAGTGAGATGAGCACAGCAAAGGGTGCGACACCCGTCACGGGATGAGTTGTTAGCAGTGAGTGGCGGCACCAATAAGCGCCCACACAAGCACAGTTACGGTGCGGAGTAAATGATGAAGTAACTATACAAAAACAACATGACAGAGACACAGGTGACGAAATCAGAGTTGGTTAATTCGACAGTACATTTGGGATAGGAAGAAATGACTCCCACGACAACCACATGAAAAACTAGTGAACACGCGTCGTGAACGGAAGGAAGTGAGTATTTCTTGGACACATAAGCGACGCATCATGCTACAGATGGTAACATGTGCAGTTGTGGGGGCATATAGTCCAAGAAGTGCGCGAGCGTTTGACATGGTGACACCGTGAGCAATGTGACAAACGGAACCGCGCTCAGAGAGGATGCAGAAGACTAGTCAGACAAACATGGGTCCCGCATTAAACCCACCGACTGATTGTGGTCTTGAGCTGGGACCAGTGAAGCAAAGAGTGAAACGGTTAGGTAGAACTCCAGTAAGCCTCAATATTGACTACTATAAGTTGAGTTTCAAAACAGCGGAACACAAACAGCCATTTCACCATTTCAAGAATCATCAGTAGTGTACATGCAGGTAACCGCGGTGGGAAAGGAACCAGCAACACTTATCCTACAAGTCGCTGGTTAAGACCACCGGGAACGAGGGACGGCAAAGACCGACATGAAATGTGATATGGCTGTCTAACTGAGTCCAATGTGATGAAATTCAATTGCTACCATTCAACTCTCCAAACAACTCCTATTTAATCAGTGAACATAGCAGTCTATTGTCACAAGTTGATTGGCGACTTGAATTTAAAGGAGATCGTTGCACTCTGAGGGGACCATCATATCCTAAGCACATCAGTAAGGTGCAAGTCAAGTGGGCAGTGAGCCGCGCTCTGTCCCACCAAGTGATCTAGTGACTTTGGTCGTTGATGTCTGCCGGGACGAAGTGGTAAAAACCGTGAAATCGTAAGAACAGAGCGTGGGTTCTAGTCCCACAGGGATGAGATGCAACGAACACTGAGGACAATTCCCAAAAGATGAAACGACCGTGAGGTGCTTTTTCGGATATGAGATGAGGGTCTGACTGATTATAGATGTGATGAATTCCAAAGTATAATAGTCGAATCCCTTTGTACCCTCTAATGTACTGATGGCGGATTCGCGCACTAAAAACCGGTGACGAATAGACAATGGAGAATCTGACAAGCAGATAATCGATGCAAAAATAAATGTCACTAACACTGAGGTTGGAAATCTCTTCATCCACAACCCGAATGCGGTTAAAACGCATGAGTAGGTGGGTAAGATTGACCAGAGTGTAGACCACGGGTGGGATTTCGCACAGTTTGTTGTGCCGGATGTCCAGCATACGCAAATTTGTGCACTGTGCAAGGCTGTCTGGAAGACGGCTGAGCGAGTTCTCCTGGAGCATGAGGATTTCCAGTAGCGGAAGACAGCCGATTTCGTCTAAAACAGGGAAATGCACTTATGCGTAATTACAAAAATGCAGATAGAGATGAATACATAAGGGATGAAAGCCTAAAAAGTGGGATTAAAAGATTAAACACTGATATGAAGTTCAGTGCCACACCCCATTGCGACGAGACTGAGGCTTGACGGGGTGCGATGATTTGCGTGACTCAGTGATCCATTAGGCAATGCTGGGTGGTGCTTTTGCATCTTTCGAGCCACTCATACTGGATTAGTTAGTGCACAGAAGCCTGAGAAACACAGCCTGATGACTCTCCGGGTTGGGGATTGGAGTAAGGGTGGCTCCACACTCCATAACACGGACTCAGTGTAGCAGAGTGCCAAAACCCCGCTGCATTGAGGCCAAGTTGTTAAAGTAAAGGCTTCGGTTGAGAACTCTAATCGTTCTCCTTTCTAGGCCTGGACATACACAATAGTTGGGGTGTTTCTCATCCTCATCCAACGTGTACTGATAATGATGATGAAGTTCACTACTGCATGAATGCGTCGCGATGTAATACCCCAACTTGGACATCGGTCGTTTTCGAGGTAAGACTTGATTAGCTTAGCGGCTGAAAACGAAGCGAAAAGTGATAAGTATCACGCATTGTTCCGTGCCTGTACATGTTCACTTGAAACTCAAACTTGAGACGTGAAAACTTTCGACAAACGCTTTTTCTCCACATCACTGGGACCGAAACCGAAGCAGAAACATAGTAGGAGTTTTTCGTTTCAGACTCCGCAATACACCACAAGTATCGCTAATGGTTGTAGATTTCTGAGATATACACAGTGGGAACTAGTGGCACAAGAAGCAGAGATTGAACGCAAGTACCTTTAGTTTTACACACCACTGGACCTCAAGGAGGAGGAGCAAAACATGTCTTAACGAATAGGTACCGATTGTTGACAATAGTGGAGTACTCGTCACGTGCAGGGAATCACAATGTTGAAGGTAGATATCTTAGAGCACCAGTGTTTGTTCTAGCCATAAGGCGGACCCCAGAGGGTGCGCTCAGCCTAAAAATTGTCAACTATCCAAATAGGTAACAGGGTCACTTCCTCTGCACCGCGTCGAGATAGCCAAAATAGTGAAAACTGGGTCCTCGCTGAAAATGCGCCGATTATTTAGTTGAATTGTCACACTGAACCAGTATCCTCGTGGGTGCCGAAGGTCTAGTAAGCTACAATGTTTCAAATCGAGAGTGTATAACGAGAGAAGATCTACGCTTGAAAAGTCTACTAAATAAATATAGACCAAACTACTAAATGTGATTGGAGAATGCGGCCAAAGTGATGCTACGGGTTCCCCACAGATGGGAAGCTCTTTCAAAGATGCCACCACACTCGTTTCCAAAACGTTTGCGAAGAGGTGCTTCTGCGTGACTGGCGACAGAGTTAAAGTGGACAGACTATAGAACTGGATTCAAGTTGCATCCCACAGCCCCGCACAAGTGCGACTGTATGGACGAACGCAGTTGTGTCACAGCAAGCGTTGTAGCAATAACATGCATACCTATGACCTACCACTGGTTGCTGTTGATTTGATGATCATGAGTGATCTGGTTGATGGTGCCGGCTTGTTGTTGCCGGCATATGGTCTTAAGGATAACAAGCCCATCTTGTGATCTGAAATCGCTGGTTCGAGCCTGCGCAAGGGACCGGACGACCGTTGTAGTACCCTTAACCCATGAGTGACTGGTGGTGGTTGCGCGGCAGCGAAGCGTCGGTACTACGTACAGACGTAGTGATGATAGTCGCTTACTGTTGGGCTGCATTCTATTGAAGACCGCCTAGGGAAAAGGTATACAATTCCGATATTCCTCTATTGGGACTCTCGAGAGTCCATGAGAAACAGCCCACTGAGTTCCCAAAAGCAAACGTGGAGTACCAAGATCACAACATGTTCTATTTCTTCTACAACATTGTGATCCCAATAATTGTAAACCAACCGGTTCTGACAGCCTGTTCTTAAGAAGAAGTTCTGCAGAGCGATCGGCTGATAAATAAAAACGACGCGGACGGTAGGGTTCTGCTTGGACCAGACGGATCTCTTGTATGTGCGCTTCGCGATAGGTTACAAGAGTAGATATGCACATTTTGGCATATGTTTTTGAACTCCAAATTCCAACGCAATCTTGCAGGAGTTGGATAATAAGACATCGGTCCCACTTATCGCCAAACAATCACCGATGGTGGCCGATCGGCTGTCTCACTCCTGGAGGTCACATCCCTGTGTGGCTTTCCAAAGTTGTGATCAGCTGGGCGAGACGAAAAGACAGTAAGGAATTGTTGTGCAACGATGCAGCAACACGGCCAGTGTTATTGCCTAAATAAGTGGCATGATTTCTCCTAAGGAGGGATGGTAAGAACCACAAAGTTGTCCAGTCGATGCCGCCTTATATTTTATGATGACCGGAGATAAGCGACAAAATGAGAGCAGTTCGATGCTGAATGGCACAGCCAGGTGTCGCACTAGGCACCCTTCTCATACATCTTATTCTTCGTTGCGCTGCAGCGAGGTACCATATAAAGCACCGAGGTGAGGCCTAATACATAGCTACCGATGGACACTACATGTCTGTCGACCAGTGACCAATGTGGACTGTGTTCTTGGGAATACTACGTCCTGTCGAGTGAAACCACAAGGCGGCTTGTGACTAACATGGCGTAGAGTTGTATAAACAATTTTCTGATGAACTGAGTCGCACGGTCGGTCACTCTACCGGCTGAAGTGGTCTTGAAGTATGTGAGTCAGCGGTTGTCCGTACTTCGCACTCACAACTCAATCGATCCGCTTAGATCTACCGCATATTGCTGCTCAGTAGAGTGGACTCGTGCTAAACCATTCAAATAGGAGATGTGTGAAAAATAGCACACATAATCGAGACGGCGGCTTCCGATGATGAAGCATGCAAGAAAGTAGGCTGAGCAAAACAACACACATTTCACTTCCAACGGCGTACCAAACACTAACACAAGACAGGGTACGAGAACCCAAGGTGCGAACGGAGTTACTTATTGTAGCAAACACCGTCAAACAGATGCACCAGCTCTGACCAACAAACCGTTTCACTCACCTACGAACACTCACCTGAAGGTTGAGCGTCGCGCTCTGCTTCCGTATCTATTCCTAGTGCACATACATCTGCAGCTGCTTCTTCTGTTATGGCGTTGGTATGGTTCGCTGCTAGCCCATTACCGTCTGGCGTCCCGGATACATATATACTATTGACACGGGGCAGTAGTATTTGCTGTGGGCCTACCGCAAGCGTTTTGTGTGCACAACACCATTTCGGTGTACGGCACGCACCGATTGATATGCGGACGACCCCGTTCTAGTGCCAGCTGGAAGCGTCAAAGCCACATTTCATACAATCGGAAGCACATGACATGGACGTAGCGATAACTATGAAGTGCTTCGTCATTCAAATACAAAAAGTGCAAGCCATCGCAACCTTCGTCCGATGGCAGTTCGTGACTTCAGCTGACGGCTAAGCTTGAAGCCGCTTGGTGACGTTGCATGGACAGGGAGAATGATGGCAGCGACCAGGCTGGGGATGAGATGTCTTCGAGCTGCTCCCAACTACGACAATGGATTCGATGGGCTGCACTTAAAAAAGTGAACCGAGAAACCGATAGAGGGGTAAAGCGATTAACCTGGTATGTCTCATCACTACACCGACTAACAATCACGAAATACGCACGAAAACAAAGTTGGGCATTAATTTATCACATGCGATTCAAACGTGGTAAAGAGATTCGCCACGTACGGCGCCGGGGTGACATCACTATCACCTTGAGAGACAGTGTGCCCAATTCAACTCTACTGTAAGGTTGTGAAGTGTTGGACTACCGGTACTTTCGCAGTGGATCTAACAGTTCGTTGGAACACCATCAAAGCGATGGGCGTGTTCGCCGTCTAGGTTAAAGGAAGAACGAGTGAATCGCTTAGTACCGTTATTTCACGCACCAGGCTAAAATGCGTTGGCCAAACGTTGCTCATGACAATGTAGTGATCCCGCAATGTGCGTTGTTTAAAGCGACAAGAATCAGAATAGAAGAGCGGAGGCCAACCGATGACTTGGTCACGAGGAATTAATAGCTGCACTTGCTCTCTTGGTGCTTCCCGAAGATAGGGCTTGGTTTCCCAAGGTGGAAAACACACTTCGTTGGAGACAGTTAATGAGATTGTGAAAAACCGAGCTCAGTAGCGCTTTCGCTGTGAACCCCTTTGTCTCACCTCATTTACCTTAAACTTCTACTCTAGTCGCGATCTCAATCTCTGATTAAACTGTAATGTGGCCTAACAATTGAGGTGCTTTTTAACTAGGAACTGGTGTGTCGAATGAGAACGTTGGTGGCCCACAGGTTTAAGTGGCTGCTACGCGGAAATGGAGTCAGCTGTTCTGAATACTGAGAATAGAGAGTGAGAAGATAAACATATGTGTTGCTCCATCGTAGGTGGATCGGGCACATGCGCGGAATCACGTCGCTGATTCCTGCGTCGTGTCAACATATTACAGCTGCACTAAATCTTATCCGGGTGCTATACGCTCCCTAAACCTGTAGTCCGTAAAGCGGGCGTCAAGGAATCTCTTGAATTCGGACATCGATTTCGCCTCGACTAGCGTCTCTGGCAATTTGTCCGAATATTTCATCACTCGACGCTCGAAGCATAGAGAGTGAGCGATGCGCTTTAAATCCGGTACCACTAGGATGTACCGGTGTCCGCGTGTTCTGCTTGGTGTGCGAACGTGCAGCTGCGGCCTCAACATAGGGAAGTGGCCCAGGTGCAGTAGCCGGTGTGTCATAGTGGGATCAATTCGAAGCCGACGATATGACAGGGTATAAAACCCTAACCTCCTACATCGGTTCTCGGATGACATACTCCGTAAACTAGGGATGCGCCGGGTAGCTACGTGCTGGACCCCTTCCAGTCTCTGCACCTCACCTATTGTGATCGGACAATAGGCGGGTGAGTCGTACTCAAGAACCGGTCTTATCATGGAAGAGAAAAGACGGGTGGCAAACTCTTCAGACCGGATGCAGAAGCTGCATCAAAGTGCCCAAAGTAGGTGTAGTCCGTTTGCGTACAGTTTGTTCGTGTTGTCGAGACTTCAGATCACAGCGTGAGAGTACGTCTAGATCCTTTAAGTAAGTGGTGGGATGCAGCGGGTGGCCGGCCAGGGTGTACGCACGCCCGTTACTACCCCTCCCCAGGCTCATAAACGAGGACTTGGCCAGGTTGACCGGTAGGTCAACTTTTGCTTACCACCAGGATAGGTGGTCGAGGTCCTGCTGAAGGACATCACAGTCGCCGGGAGAATCAATAATATTCCCAATCTTCAGGTCACCTGCAGATAATGCGCAGGGCAACCGAAGAAGCTGAGATACTTCGTTGATGTGGATCAGAAACAAAATGGGGCCCAGTACTGTGCCTTGAGATACGCGGCTAGTGGACGGGTTCGAAACAACGCTCAACGACTCACACAACGTAACAGATAGTTCGGTGGTTTGATGTAGACAAAAGTTACCCGAGAGGCCGAGTGTGCCGTATGACTGGTAGAAAAGTGAAAGGCAGCGGAGGTTACACTGGACTATGCCACATCGACGAGCACAGTAATCTAGTCAGTCGGTACGCTGTATCTAGCAAAAGCAGTGCTCAAACTGGATTTTATTCAATGGAAGAGGCAGATCACAAGGAACAACACACACACATTCAGCTGGAAGGCACTCACTTGGTAGACTGACCAGTTTGTTAGAGTAAAGGTAAAGCTCCTTTAGGTGACCGGCCAGGTCTCGAATACTTGTCGGCAGTGAGTGTAATTGACCTTTGGATAAGTCCAGACGTGTGGTGGTCTCTTCTCGACATCGGTTGATTTCCTTTAAAGCATCCTAAGAGGCAAAACAGCGAATGAGAGGAATATCGGACTACATGCAAGAAGGATATATCGAAGTTCAACAAATAAAAAAGCCCAAACTAGAGGGTGTTCAAGTCTTACATGAATTCCATACCAACAAAGAGGACAAAACTTTACACGAGTGGTGTGTAGTTCGTAGGCTAGACATTTGCATACTAGGGATGGTTGGTCAGTGTTGTAAACATAGAGATTTACCAGCGGCTACGCACTAGCAAAAGGAGATAGAACAAACATACTGGAATGGAGGGTTTCGGTGTGGCTCTCTACCATCCCTACACACCACGACCGACGGTTTCGTCTTGGTTTAGACTCATCAGGTAGAGATAGCCGGGCTGGGAGTGGAACTCGGCGCATAGTGCTTGGCGGCTATCGCCATAATCACTACGCCATTGAGCTCCACGAGTAGCGTTTGACACAGCGCCTAGAAGTAGATTTTCGGGTTTTGGAGCACCCGCCATGTGGCTTGGATTGCGACATGCAGTCTCAATCGTAGCCTCGGATGACTTTAAAGTCAGCCTCTGTTAATACGGTCACTGGGACCGTCAACGAAGTGGAGGGGTTTCGGTGTGGCTCTGTCTCATCCCTGCATTCCACGACCGACGGTCTCGTCTTGGTTTAGACCCAACAAGTAGAGATAGCCGAGCTGGGAGTGGAACTCGCCATGATCACTAGGCCATTGAGCTCTGCGAGCAGTGTTTGACAAAGCAGTTAGAAGTCGATTTTCGGGTTTTGGATCACCCGCCATACGTGATAGCAAAAGACAAGAGAATAGGAGGTAGTTATGACTGGAAAACAGCTGTGTGGAGAGCTTCATGGAGATTGGAAAACAGACTGATCCGCATAAGTGTTCGTCCCACAAGGACAAATACAAGTGCGTGCACCAGAGAAATATCTGACATTCAGAAAAACGTCAAGCAGTGCAATAAAAGCTTGCAGGCGCCCAGAAACACATTTGTTGCCACAAGCCATGGTCGATGGAACAGGAGCATCGTCATCAACAACATAACATCAGGCATTTGGACTGATGTTTCGCTGCCATACAACCACGGTGATCTAAGAAACGAAGAATAATAACAGGAAGAGAAGAAGGACCTAGCATAATACCCTAATGCCCTAAACTAGGGGTCACCAAACTACGGCCCGTGGGTAGGATTCTGCCCGCCAACGGTACTCGGATCTTAGCACCTAAATAATCCACACGCCCATCTTACGGTCTCCGTAGGAATGCACATTCTATCATTTCGTTGCATGACCCCACTCTGAACGCGCCCATGCGAGATCACTTCAGCACCCTAGCCATACTTGGCCCCTTCATGTCGCACATACCAATTTCAACATTTTGAACAATACTCGGCGTGTCACAGGGACAGCCCACACAGCTATGCCGCATTTTTCACGGTAAGCTCCGTAATGTTTGGCATTCCCTTATTCTGAGCACCCGTTTGGTCTCACTCACCTGTTTGCATGCGACCCACGCGGTCGTCTCGTACATACAGGCACAGTGTGGTGCACCGTGGCTTTCATGTGGCTACCCTTACCATTGATTCAGGCGTAGTAACTTGCAAGAACACCAATTTTGGTGGTGAGAATGTCACGGCCTCGATGCGAAGTTTAGAGCCCATGCTGTTCACCAGAAGTGTGTAACCTCGTTAAGACAGGGGAAGCATGTTACAGTCGTCTCAAGACGGGTCACCTTTGCTAACTGTGGAAACGGCGACGGGGCCCAGAGTGCCCGTGATAAACCAGATTGGCGATTTACGCGATTTCGCTATGTCTCTGCAGCACATCTGGTTACCACTCGCAGGACCGCAGTTAAAAACCACTGCTCAAGCTGGTTATTTAGGCCTACCTCATACTTGATGTGTAGCAATCATTATGTGATATAATACCAGTAGCCTAGTAACTGTATGGTGTGAAGTTCATTTGCACCTTCGGAGAGCCGTAGTTTCATCAGAGACTCAACTGCTTGTTTTGTATGTGTACCAGTAGGATTTTAACCGTGTCTCCAATGTAGTCTATGTCACATTTCCAATTCCCTTTTAGTGCACTGCTCATTATAGCTACAAAGAAGAGAAATGTGAACACCGAATGTCGCGTTTTCAACGTACAATGGGGAGTGAATTATTTCTTTGTAGAAACTATGGACCGGAAAAGTAAGTACGCAAATGCGGCGAAATTGTGGCTGGTTTGAAAGAGTACAATCTTCGGTGTCACTATGAAACAAAACACCTATGAACATATTCAACTTTTTCGGGGAAGCATGAAACATGTTTTAGAAACCCAAATATTTATCTTCATGAGAAAGTTCTCTAAAAGTGTAGCTGTCACCCGTAATAGTTACAAACTAGTACATGTGATGGAAGAAAAAGGAAAATCGTTTACTAATGCCAATTTCATTAAACGGTGTGTAATGGAAGCTATGAATAATTAGGGTCCTGAAAAAAATCGAATTGTTTGTAACTTTCAGCCTTTCGGTAAGTTCATTTGTGCGGAAAACAAAAGAATTTGAGGAGAATACTGGAGAAACGTGAAAACTTTTTGTGGTATTCTCTGGCGCTGGATAAGTGCATGCCGTCGTATTCATCCTGGATTTCAAGCTGGAGTTTCAGATGACGGGAGAGTTGGCATCGGTCAGCAACATGCATGGAACGACAAGTAGAAGGGACATTTTCGTAGAGCTGTACCAAGTTTTCCGAGGAATAGGCTTCAAAGTGTCACAATTGATGGTGACAGAAACTTGCCCAGTGACACTGCTTCGCAATGTTACCCGTTCAGATATCGTTGTTGTTGCAGGAGATAGAAAAACAATCAAATTCAGATAGGAGCTTCCACCAATCAACTAGACATTAAACTAGATCACGAGTAAGACGACTTTAAAATGACTTCAAACCCATGCCGCTAGGGTTAAGGACCAAATCAGCGAATAAGCTATTTAAACTTCTGTTTTGGTATCTGTTGCCCTTTGGAAAGTATTTACGTCCGCGCTGGCAGGTTTTCCTCCTCCCACCTGAAGCGGTTATGCAGACTTAAGGAAAAAGTGTTTAAAAGAAGACGGCATCTCAGTAAGATCTCTCACAGGTTGTATCAAGGAAGAACTACACCGTCTTACCCAAGTGTATGCCCAGTCTGGTATTGGGAACGGCAGTTGTCCTGAACTCTGGAGGATGCTGAAAACGCCTAGCGGTTACTCGACGTTCGCCATACTTTGATGTAGACGTCGAGAAATTGAATCAGGAGTTCTCCAAGTGTAATACTACAACAGCGCCAGAGTTATCCTGTGCCCAAGTTCTGGGTTCTGCTGAGCCACTGCCTCCCGTTCCCTGTGCAACTGTAACTAAGCTACTGGAACATTTACGTTCCGGTAAAGCTAGTGGGACGAACGTCGGCCGGTGGCCGAATGGTCTGCACGTTTGCTTTGCAACCATAAGGTCACCGGTTCGAATCCGCGTAGGGGTGGGCGTCCTCGCGGTATACTCAGCCCGCGCGCGACTGGTGGTGGTCGCGCGGCAGCGAAGCGCCGTCACGGCGTCCAGCTGACACATTATCTTATTAGTGGGACGAACATGCTCTCTCCTATCTTACTCAAAGTAGGTGCCGAGTGTAAGTACATACACAAAGTGTATGCAGCAACAAAAGATAGCCGACTTCTGGAGAAGTGTCAACAGTACACTAGTACCGAAAAAAGATTCAAGAAATATCGATTTAGGGAGTGCACTTCCGTTGCTTTGATGGTTCTGGAGAAAGTCAGTCTGGAAATGATGCCGTCAAGCACACGCTCTAAGGACCCTCTCCAATTCGTCTATCGTAGTTCGAGGTCTACCCTAGATGCTGTGATCTACCTCGTACAGTATGTACTGTCATCGCTTGACAATAGGTAGAAAGCAACTCGGATGTGTTTTCCTGACTACAGCAATGAAGTTGGTTGTGTAAACCGCGAAGTACTGCTAGAAGACCTAATTACTCAAGGAGTACATCCCTCCAGTGTCTATTTACTGATTGATTATGTTGGTGAATGTACTCAGATCACCCGACTCAGTGGCAGATGTTCCTCCCCACTACTCACCAACGCAGGTGTCCTTCAGGGAGCAATTCTGTCGCGTATTCTCCTTTCTACTTACGTCAGCTCTATGAAGGCTCCAACTGAAACGACTGATAAAATATGCGGACGATATCGTCCTGGGCATCAGTCACCAAAGCGTTGGTTGTTCATTCAGACTACAAGCGCTTCTAAACGATCGTAATGGCTTGTACAAATCCCGTGACCTGTCTCTTAATGCTTCAACATGCCATGACATTCTTTTTTCCTTACACATAGGAGCTAGGTATGAGGAGTTCTTTGCACACTTCAACCACTTACATATTAATGGCGACGGATTCTGGTCTTCCAATTCAGTAAAATATCTGTGTGTGATGTTGACTTACGATTTATCTTGGACGCTTCAAGTAAATGAAACTTATACAAAAGTTAGAAGGTTGTCATTCTATGCCTCTCGGCTCAGAGCCTCCTGCGTTCCTCGTGAGTTGATCATCCATTTTGTCAATGACTGTGTTCTTCCCCATTAGACATGCTGTTCCCCTGTGATCTTTCCCGGTCTTTTGGGCAAGCATTTTAAGTTAATTGTCAGATCATTAAAGCACTTAGCCCGATGTAGCGGTATTCCGATATCTATTTTTACCAACACTCTTATTTCTACACACATCAGTTCTTGTAAAATACTGGCTTCTAAAGTAGTGACCGATACAAGTCATCCCTTACATACTGCCTTATCTGAATGTTTATCAACTTCATCTACTAGGCGGAAGTACAATCTCATCTATGCCCGCACACAAGCTTATCGCTCGTCAGTCAGCCCCCCTTACCACACGCGTCTTTTACGTGACCCCAACTCTGTCAACCTTGATTTAACCGGTCAATTTTAAATTTGATTGTGTTTTTCCTCCTTATCTACCCGTTCTTTGTCGTTTTGCTTTGCC